CCCCAAAACCCCAAAACCCCAAAACCCCAAAACCCCAAAACCCCTCAGAAATATCTGCAGATAGAATTAATAAAATGGATTTAAGACTCTCACTAGCATGATTCTTCTTACTAGCAGTGGGCATGGCCCACTGCCAAGAAGATAATGACTTCAGTGTATATCTAGACCATTCAATAGAGTTCCCTCTGGCTCCTGATGACTTTCAGAATTGGGAGACCAAAGGTGTTGCTACTTTTACAAAAGATAAACTTGTTGTGACCCCTGAAGTCAAGGCGAGGCATGGCCTGGTTTATAATAAGAAACCTTTGCAAGGCAAGGAGTGGATGATCGATGTACAGTTCCAAGTTGGGAATAATAAAGGAACCACCTTTGGAACCAATGGGATTGGTATTTACCTCCTCAAGGAGGTGTTAAGCAAAGATATCGATTCTAGCAATGTGTTTGGATATTCAAACGAGTTTATTGGCACTGCTATCTACCTTAATGCTGGCCTGAGGAAAAGAGATCCGAATAGTAAAAATATCAGGCTAGAGGCTATCCAAGGAATTACATCTGACGGATCAAAGCCTATAAATACATGGGCCATCCCAAAGAATAGCACCTGTTATCATAAATGGAGGAATACTAAGGATGAAAATGGGAATCATATTGACAATACTCTTAGACTCCACTACAATCAGGACTCTCTAAATGTGTTGTTCTACGATACGAAAGAAGGCCAGTTTTCTCATTGATTTAAATTGAATACACAGTTCGAAGAAGGCGTATATCTCGCTCTTTCTAGTGCTTCTGGAATGTGGGATCAAGATTTTCATTACATTAAAACATTAAAAACTATGAACCCAAACAAGATTGATAGAACTCATCGAGCAGAGAAGGCTAAAAAGCTTAAAGGCGAGAAGTTCATGCAAAATCTGGACCGTAATGATATTATGCATGAAAATAGACTGAGATATAATGGCATTGATGACTTAATACAAAAGGTTAACTCTGAAATAAACTTGTTCACCCAAAACAGTCAAAAGGTCAGCTCGCTTGTTAGAGCCAATTTGGATAAACTCCCAGAAGATCAGAATCACCTGTAAGGAATATTTGTAAAAACTGCAAAGTAGTTCACATCTCAGACAGAGTTTTTTCTTCTAACAATTATTATTGGTTTCTTTAATACTCATAAAATCTAGAATAAACCTTGAAAGAATGAACACAGACCTTAACCTAGTCATGAGAGATTTTAGCACATTAGAAAGAATGATGGCTTATACACAGCAGTTGATCCAAGAGGTTGAGAAGAGACCTCCTCTCAAGCTTCCTGAGACCCAAGTCCAGGTAGAATCCCAAGTCTCTTCGAAAAGAGCTGCCTTAGAGACAGATATCCGTGATCTTAGCATCAGAGTAGGTAACCTTGAGCAGAAGCTCGAAAAAGATCATTCAGAGACAAAAGAAGCTTCAATTGAGAGAGAAAGATCTAACCGACAGAAGCTAGTAGAGGCTCGAGTCACTAATGATATTCCTTCGAGTGCTATCTCTCCAGAGCTGCACCAGATCATAGAGACTTCAAAGCATGAGGTTAGGTCTCAGACTGAGGGAAGCGGAAGTTGGCTCAAGACCATTCTGACCTGGACTATCCTGATAGGCATTACTTACTTCATGTATGCAATTTATACGGGACTCAAAGAAGAGAAGCTAAAGATGTAAACATTTCAATATTTTTGAGCCAAGAAGGGGTTTTGGGGTTTTGGGGTTTTGGGGTTTTGGGG